AATAAAATGCAATATGTTGTACATAAAATGTTTCAATTAGGAATCATGCTTATCATACATATCATAAAAACAAATCCCTCTTTTGTATGCATTGTGAATTAAATATCATAAAAATTATTTCACTTCTCCTGACTAGCAGCGGTACAATGTGATTGTAATATCGATAACTGACGTAAGTTAATTAATCTTCCGAAAAATACGTAAAATTATGGTCATTACCGCGATTACCTATCTTGCTTAATTAACGTCATTTCGGTCGGAGTACACTTGATGCGCTTATGATAGTCGGCGGTAATCCGGTTTAGGTCGTTGCGCCGATTATCTCGTAAAACGCGCTACCGGGATTCACCGGACGGACGGACGGACGAGCGGACGGACGAGCCCGTCCGTTTGACGTTCACGAATAGATCTGTGCGATTCGCGATCGTTGTTGATTCAGGGTGTGCTACGTCGCACGTGCGCCAGTGTAGACGCACGCAAAGCTCCCGCAACCCGAACTTCAGCACGCGCCACGATTACGCGATTACGCGATTACGCGTGTCGTCTCCCCATCGTACAGCCCGGGCTGACGCCCCGAAGGAGAGGTCGAACAAGCAATGACGCGGAAGATGATTCGCTCCCTCCTATCATCTGCGAGGAGCGAATCTACGTCGCGTAATAACCAGTATCTGCCGCCGAGGAAAAAGGGGTGCTACTCTGGATCTATTTAATAATCTGTCCAATACTATCACGCGCTCAATATCCGACGATATTTACTGACGAGTGCGAGAGTGATCTCTCGTTGTAGCAACATCTTCGATATAAAATTTTTCTAAAAGTTCACAGATTGACAGGTTCACTTAAAATGGGAAATTGACAATAGTTCGTCACCAAGAACAATGCACGAAACCTCGATCATTATTTTTCCCTTTAAGCATCTCAGAATCCAAGGATGCATTTGAAATGGCATGCGTACGTACCGGCTGGGATTTTGCGGGTCGCCTACGCAGCACAGCGGGAATTAAAGGACAGGAGGGAGTGATACGTACCGTCGGCACGAGTCGACACGTGGCGGTAGCGCTTTATACAAACAGCATTATGCACGCTCGCGCTAACATAAATTACTACGGGTTTAATATTGGACGTCGGCGTTGGCCCCGTGGCCGACCACCTCCTGAGCAAAATACGTTAAATGCGGGAAGAGCCAGGACGCGCGCAACCGCGATTCGCGATTTCTCGGTTTACTCGACGAATTCCTCCAAGATCTGACGCGAATAGTAGCGATTCCGCGTGTTATTTCAGTAAGATTGTGTGTAAAACTGAGAGAGAATCGTTTTGACGAGAATCCGTAAAAAGCATCTTCACGCGTTCAGGTTATAGCTTCGGCGTCAGTTTTCTCTGTGGCTGGTTTTTTTAACTGTAGCTTGGTTCAAAACTATGCTACCTCAACTGCTACAAACACTTATTGTTAGTAGACGGAGAGAATTTTCTCTTAAAATTTATCCCGAAAAATATGTGATCGTGGGACAACGTGACAGTTTGAAAAACTCTATGAGAGTTTTTGAAATTTTACCATATATTTTACTAGTATAATAGTATACTAACTAGTATACTAACAATAAGTATAATTACAAGTAAAATATATGGTAAAATTTCAAAACACTCTGATCGTGGGACAACGTGTCATTTTGAAGAACTTTATGAGAATTTTTTAAATTTTACCATACATTTTACTAGTATAATATATGGCAATAATAGTATACCAACTAGTATAATTACTAGTAAAATATATGATAAAATTTCAAAACACTCGTAAAATTCTTCAAAGTGCCGTGTTGTCCTACGATCACACAATTTCCAGGATAAATTTTAAAAGAAAATCCTCCCCGTGTAGATTCAATTATTCTGCTTACATTTCTCACGAAAATTTATTTCCGCCGGAAACGACGTGAACCGACCGGCCGAATTCGAACAAGTGCGAAAGGAAAGGCGTGTGAATGGTATTATTCGTGAAAAGCCTCGGCCGAATTTCATAGTAGGTCCTTTCACGGCGCAAAAGCATCCGTGAAAGACTTCGGGAAACTTTGAGCCTAGGAAATATCCAAATACCACCGCGAAAGAACGAGAACGAGCGGAAGAAACGATAAGTGGACACCCCGTGGAGAGTGATACAATGCAGGCCGTTCGCGTGGGTTAAAGTCGGCTTCATTTATGGACGAGGATCAAAATCCACGTGAGCCGCATGTCGACTCGAGTGTTGCTCTCTATGGCGGAGTCGCGTCTTAATCCCGAAGAAACAGACCGCGAGACCGGATGCGGCCTCTTGAATCCCGAACGGATTGGCATTGTTTGCTGTAGATTTATACGAAATGAGAGAGTGTATATCGTATATAAGAACAAGTCGCTCTCATATAAGAATAAGAGCACTTCCGTTTTAATTAAAAAAATATTTCGAAAAGTACCAATTGGAATATTATAGAGAATATACTATATATGACACTATTATTAATGCTGTGACTTGATGTTTGGTTATTTATTTAATTATTTATGCCCCTCTTCTCGATGCTTTTGATCTAAACGTTTCATCTTTCTTACATTTGCGACAGTCACTCTCCAGCCTTTGTAGGCTATACCTTTAACGTTTATTGAAAAAAATTTATAATTATGACTCATTCCCTCCGGACTTTTATTAGATGACTAGGTATATATTACATTTGCTTTTTTTATTTACTGAGGTAAGACTGATCTTTGATGGTTTTTTATTTATTTTCAATCTTTTATTTTATATTTTATATATCTACGGTGACAAACCAGATTTTTTATTGTATCTATTAACTGTTATCGCTTTTGTTTACATTATTATTTATTACTTACTGTAATGGTTTATCAAACACATTCTTTATACCGCACGAGGTTCTTATCTCATTTTTCGATTTTTAATTGTACTAGAAATGACAAAACGCGCGCTCCACGCGCGCAGTTTGTGATTGGGCACTGTATATTGTTAAGAATTTTTACACATGCAAAGAAGTAATTGTATGCGCAACGTCAATTTAAAATAAAAAGTAATTTATCACTCACTGATACGATTCGCGACAGCAGAGTTGTACATCGTTCACTATATATGTTGTACTGTAAAAATACAAATACGTATATGATTATTATAGATTAATTATGTAAAATCAAAATTATTGTAGTAAATATACTTTATATTTTATATTTTTTAAATAGATATTTATTAACATAATTATATAGAAGACTGAAAAAGTCCTTCTTTTAAATATAAACTTAAAAAATTGTACACGTATGGTTTTGTCTCTAACACTTATTCGAATCCTCGTTCGAATCATTTGAATAAGTCAAATAAAAATACAGAACAAATGTTGTATTTCACACAAGTAGCAAGTAACATAAGAATGTAAGATACTTACCTCACCATTTCTCCGTCGTTGCCCGATGCCTCCTTGGCCTCCTCCTCCTCCTCTCAGATTTCCTTGTGGCACTCACACCAACACTCACTCGCGAAAATCACTGATCGGGCGAAATTTCGGACACTCCCGTACGCGATGTGAAATACCGCGAAACGCACGAAATAGTATTAACAAATATCGCGTGACTTTCTGTCATACAAATTACTCAAACTAACAATTTAATTCGGAAGAATAGGATAATGGATAAAACACTTATGAATTGGCGACATAAAACGCAACGCGAGCACCGGAGGCATAATCTGCGGTAATAATATGCGATATTTTACAATCTTTGTCATTCAATCTAATCCTCGAGATAAGTTATGTGAACAAAATTTCCAGCGATAAATAGTAGTTATTAATTGCAACAGTTAATTTACATAATGTAACGACGTGCAATAAACGATTTTCTGTACTTCCTGCCCGTTCGAGTTGCGAAGAACGACAGAGCGACTTACAGCGCGAACGCCGAAGTCGCACAAATTTCTCTCTTTTCCCGAAAATGGGACAGATTACACGAAATCGATGGACAATTAAAAGCGCGGTGCGTAAACGAGATGTAACCGCGACAAAGTACCACGGTTTACATTCAAATTTTAGACGAGTTAGTCTCGTGAAATATGTATACGTTGATAAAGAGCCGTCGCCTCAACATGCAATCCGTTTCTCGTTACAAGTTGTCGAAACTTAGTAATTAGTCAAGGAACGTTACTTGTTACTAATGAAGGCGTGCAAATCAATAGTGTTTTATCCCTGCGTTCGTCGCGATTGAGTCTTGGAAGCCGATAACGGAAAAGTAATAACACGCACGGAGCGATTCTCGCCACTGCTTGCCGGCTCGACATTCGGCGAGAGAGTGATAATGCGACGACCTTCAGGTAAACATTGGCCCGCGTAACATCGTACGATACAGCGCCGAGTGAAAAACAACAAAAAAACGTTGAGAATTCGTTGGCCTGCCTACGCAATGGAAAATTCCGTATTTAATATTTTATTGTACATTACTTTGTTCCGTGACTGTTGCTACGTTTTGCGTATTATTCCGCGGACTTATTGGTATTGTTTAAATTAACGATTAATTCTGTTCAATCGAGAAAATGTTTCGAAACAAAAATCGTTGTTACTTAAGTTCTAATTACCAAGATTAGAGATTTTACCTCAAGAGTTATTGTATACAAATGTATATTTCTAAATTGCCAATCTTCATTCACAATGAATCTAAAAGAGAAGTGAAGCACACCGCGCTTCGAGAAAACCAATCGACATCGCGGAAAAGAGGCCTCAACTGTTCGATATTAACGACATTCGCGCTGGTAACATCTCTTTTTTAGAAAGAGAAATAGAGAAATAGATATAAAAAAATTACAACATGTGAATTTTGTTGGTCGATTCCTGCATACTTCTCTCGGTAAACTGATCGAACGATTTACTGACAGGACGTTGCCATTAACTCGCGACAACATTAGGATTACAGCATGTCTCGATTAGAAAATTGACTCGTAACATATATTTTCTATTCTCAAGCACGGTGCTGGGACAGGTCGCGCTACAATGGCCCAGGCACTCTACGTTCGGAATCCTTATCCTGTGCCGGATATCTCCCGGGAAGGAGCGTGGGTATCACGCGGGCCTGTGTTGGGAGATAAAGTCTCGCCGTCGGATAGAGACTGGAACGTCAAATTGAGCGCCCACGAGCGTCTCTTTGCTCATCACACCCTGAACAGCATCCGCAGAGACCGTCGATTCGTCAGACCGCAGGTTTGATATTCGATATTAAAAGTAAAACTTTGTATCGCGTCAACTTTTGTCGATGCAAATGCTTTTACAGGTTCCGCGCGACGCCCTTGACCTAGCCCTAAACAGCGTTTACGCTCACAGCCGAGACACTCTAGTTTCGAAAATGTACGTGCCCATCCAGCCGGAAACGCTCGGCAGGGAAACTTGGCGTGTCCTACGAAACGAGATTAAGGTACTTAAAATTAACTAGGCAAACGCGTCAGTTTTGCAACGATATAACAATTCGGTACGGAAAATAAGTGGGTATGTTTGAACATTTTTAGATTTTGCCGGAACCACCGAAACCAGATAGACCGTTGCACGTGAGCGGTCATCCGGACGAGGAACTTAAATCGGTAGTTCGCGTACCTTTATCGGCGGATAAATCGAGGTGTCATAGCGGGCCAACTTTACCGCGGAGAATTCATCCGAGCAGCGTGAAATTAAATATCGAGGGTCCTCATATGGACCATTCGAATCCCGGATACAGTCGCAAAATCGACGGAACTTTTTACAGTATTTAAACACGGATTTGGGCGGTGTTTGAGCGGCACGCTTGGAGAACGTTCGGATTAAACTGAAACCTGCAATTCGCCGAATGAAGCACCCGCTTTTACAAATACCATTATCGCTATTGGCATAATCTGGCGAGATTTACGTTTTGGAACATTCCGAGAAGCAGCGAATCGTCAACGTGACCGTAATGCAGGCACAAAATTGATCGTATTAGAAGTCTTTTGTACATCACATACGATGCGAAATCGCCGTCAATAGCCGTTTATTTCGCAGCGTGATAAAGTATTCGATTATCCTATCTATCTATGCTAATCTGATCATGTTGACAAATTTGTCCGATGGCTCACACAAGCTCGCCTTAGCTATCGCGAGCCGAGATCTCCCGACTGCCGCTCGCATTTTCGCCCCTTTGACAGTTCGAGGCGCAGGGCGACTCGAAGATCGGCAGAAGCGTGAGTCAGTGCGCACCAAGTTCTCACCGCTCGACTCAGCGCGGCAGTGAGCTGAAGGGACAGAATGTCCCATTACCCGGGTAATCCTTGTTTGTAATAAACCAGCGCCCCGCTGCCAGGCTCGGGGTGACAGCGCGGAGCCACCCTTGCCGAGGGCCCGCGCGGAGGAGGAGACATCTTCGCACGCATATGCTCCTCATGAAATATCATTTATGTTTCTCGCCCCGCGCGCGCAAACGTCTATCTCGCGACCCGTTTGACCCAGCTCGCAACCCTCCGACACCCTCTCCGCCAGGCCGGAGTAGGCAGCACGATCCTTATACATACGTCTAATCCGGCCATGATTGCCCCGCCGACCGCCTCGTCACGAAAACTCCACCTCGGCTATGAGATGTAGCACGCTACCCTTCCTCTGTCTGACCCCATTCTCCGTAGCTCCTTTAAAACGCTTTTTGACGAACCTCGCAACGACGCGAGGCGATGAATTTGCGCGCTCAGCTTCCCCTCATCCATTCTTGTATTAAAAGTTAACAGAATTTTTACTCTATCCTGGATGTAATATGATCTACGTCGAATTTGTTATCTGGACTTGGTACAGTTTTCCGCGATGTTTTTTATTGAATCACTTCGAATTAATCGTAAACTCGGCAGTCTCGATAATAGTAATTTTTTGTGGATTACGTCGCGGCGCATGTCTATCGACGCGGGGTCCTTTTTCATCCCCGGTACAACGACGGAGCGAGGCACCGGGGCTATAAGGGTAGAACGATCTCAGACGGTCGTCAGGCAACGAGCGAGGTTACCAGCCAATTACTTGGCTGAACGGTTTTATTTGTATTTAATTCTTATTTAATTTACTTTTTACGGTTGCGCGCGCGCATATAGTTTTGCCGCCGCCATTAAGGAAATGGAAAGCTTCTTCGTCATTGCAAATTAACGACCGGTCGCGATCTATTCTGTCGGAACGCAGTCTATGTATGGTAAAAATGTCAATCGCACAACGTGGCACTCGACAGTAAAATTTGCCCCTCGTAAAAAAAGCCTAATTTTGCATATATCTACACGGAGAGAACTTCCTCTTAAAATTTACCCTGAAAGTCATGTAATCGTGGGACAGCGTGGTATTTTGAAGAACTTTATGAGAGTTTTTGAAATTTTACGACGATTTTCAGAGTAAATTTCAAGAGAAAATTCTCTACTATTAAAATTGTACAAAACAACAATAGACAATTACAATTCTTTTTGTAACAAAGCTGATGAAACAAAAATCAAACGGATACAATGAAATCATCTAAAAATATCATCAATATTAATTCACTATGCACAGCTTTAAATATTTCGAAATTAATCGGCACAACACCATTAGTTTTGAAAATACATTCACACAAGTAATGACTGAAGCAATGATGCTGCTATCGTATGAACCACGTTTGAACTGCCTCCGCTCTATCTATTCGATTCTTTCACGCGTACGCTTTTCCAGAAGGAAATTCTGCGTGAAAGTCGAAGCAAAGTCGCATTGATCCCTCTAGGATGAAGCTGTTATTCCACTGAACTTGTTACGTTATATTTATCAGCGCGGTGCACACTGGCACTACCCGTCGGATTTTATCGTTCCTTTCGGATTTCGTTCTTCCACCGTCGTTTCAGCTAAATAGACAAAGCCGCAAATGACACAGTGAATAATAAGCAACACACTAAATTAACCGTACGCCATACATTATGCTAGTCTCATTTTAATCCACTGCTTCTCTCGAGTTGGTAAAACACTTTCTAATTCTATAAATATTAGGCATGAAAGAATTGTATGTTGTACAGACTATAACTAATCATTCTGAGAATGCACTAACAAAGAAAAACACTTCACAATTTTATCATAAACTATTACACGTGTAAAATGACTTTGCTTATACATGTAAAACGCTTCTTTGACGACTCTTCGATCATTCCGCGACTTTGTGATCTTTAATTCTTAAGTTTTATAAGTTTATATAATTTATACATTTATGCCAAACTTTCATATTTATACTTTAATTGTAATCAAAATAAATTTTTAATAAAATGTCAATAAGCTATTGATATTTAATTAAATGTAGCGTACAGTTCTATAAAGTTTCTTCTTGATTTCAGTTTACCTGTCGTTTCTCAGCCTTTGCTGACGACAGAAAGAGAAGGAGAAACTGTCCAACAAGAGATCTACGAAGGGGTGACGGCTTAGAAAGTTTATTTTCTCATTTTAGTTCAACACGGTTGCACGCGCTAGGGCGTGCTGTTTACTCAATGTTTTAAAATTATTTTAAAACTATTCGTCCCTAAGGGAAAAGGGGTATCTGGTGACGCGTGAGTGTCAAGAGTTGACATTGCGTGTCGTGTGATTTCGAATGCGGTGGGAACAGACGGGGAACGTTCGTCGTGTTATCATTTCACGTACACGAGCTTTAAATGATACAAACTCCTAGCCGAACGAGAAGATCGGCGTCACTGGAAATACATATATTTCGGGAGTGCCGTTTTCGCTTTTCGCGGAAATTTCGATTTAGAACATATGCATTTATTACTAGTTGGCAGAGGTGACATTTTACGAAATCTTTCTTCGTCTCTCGTTCTCTCTCAAAATAGTTCCAGATAGTCCCCACAGTACCTACATACTGCATGGACTGTAATTTTTCACATACAAATAGAAGAAACAATGTAATGGCATTTGTTTTTTTTATAATCGCCAAACACATCGCATTTACTATATACGTTTCCCTTAATCTCGAAATAAAAAGAACGGAATAAATTTTAGTGCCGCGCGCAGCCTCCACTTTTTCTTGATGTTCCGCGAATGGGCGGACGGGGGCGGCGAGGGAAGGAAGAGGCGGAAGGCGGATTAAAACGTGGGGCGAGAAAAGGCGTCTAAACGATGGTGGAAGGTCAAGCCTGAGATTACGACAGACCCGTGCGACGTTTGCTCGTTAATTAGGGAGTTCTAATTATAGTAAATGCGTGAGCCCCCGGACGCAGTGGTGGCGCGGAGAGATCGTGCCACGGCGGAAGCTCCGGGGATCAAAATGCAACCCTCCGCGAACGAGCCAAGATTACCTTCGAGGGTCCTCGGGCGCTTCCCTCGCTAAGGCTCGACCCACAACCTGCGCGACGACGACCGTTCTCCGCATTTCCCTTCTGCCTCTCCTCAATCTATTCACCGTTTCCCCCCTCGCGTCTCCTCAGCCCCACGCTCTCAGATATCACCTAAAATAACAACGTCCTAGAAGCGCGCCCGGGCGGATAGATTTTACCGCTGGTGGTGTATAACAAATGGATTAGTATTTCGGTAGCCGTATAATCCCCTCTCGTTGCGGCCCCGGAGATTATTTCGATTATCCGGACCTGATTTTAGTTAATTAACGCGCTCTCCCCCCTCCACCGCCTACTCCGAAGACCATGTCCGGTATCTTCTCGTTAAATCTTCCTTAGATTTATCTTTGATCGTCAAGCCTATAGCAATTACCATCAAAAATTTACGCGCCTATCAAACACGATGTATCTTCTTATATAACGAATAAATAATCGTTGGTCGATATGAATGTTATGAAACCAAAAGTGGACCATTTTATGTACATCTTGCTTTCACGTGTACGTTGCATAAGTTTATAAAATAATGAAATTTTTCCTGTGTACAAAATATCAAGATATAATTTTGACACAATCTATATAACAACATACTTCTTTGCAAAGGTTGCTCCAGCTTAATAAAGAAGATGAGACTGTAAGGCGACTTTTACGAGACGGTTTGTTTATCCAGAATTTCGAGATTGTCTGTCGTAGGACGGTCGCCCCCACTTATAGCCGCGAATAGGGCAAATATCGGTGTAGAATCCGCGAGAGTGAGAAACGTGACGGAACGACAGCACACAGCGGCGGTATACGTGTACGATCCCCAGCGTCGTCGACACGTGGGAACGCGGACACGCGTCCTCGTCGCCCCTATGTGCGTGCCCCGACGTGCCGCAACTCCGAGGGTTGTTTCTGCCATCTCGACTCTCTCGAATATTCGCGACACATCTCCGGCCATGCAAATTATTAGCAAGAGGCTGCAGATACGATCAGTTCCAACAATAAATCGCGACGTTTTATGTAAAAGCTCGATTTCGCTCGAACGAACTTTACACAACATACGACGATTAATATTTAACGAATGAGCAATATAATAAAAAACACACACGTAGGAGTAAAATGTTTTGTCTCACTTTAATTGTACAGCCCGTTCGATTTATAAACCTATTTTGTGTATCACTTGAATTTAAATATTTCGCGCCCATAAAATACTTTTGGACGTATCGCTAAATCTACGAGTATTTTCAATATAGTGGGGATCCGTACGCGCGAATAAAATCGTGAGGTATTTCGTTTCCAACCGCCGCAGTGAGAAACGCGTTTCGACGGAGATTGCCGCCATCCCCTGCGCGTTTTCACCCCTAAAGGTTTCCCTACGCTCGCCGACGGGGAGCGCACGTCGCGTCGACTCACAGACGCGGAAAATCTGACGGATGCGAATACGCGACGCGTATAAC